GGATAAAAAGAAGAGAAAGATGCAGTGTTACAACATTATCTAATCTGTGGTTCTCAAGGAATAGAAAGATGTCCTCACAGTCTCACACTGATAAGAGCATATTCACACGAGACAAATGCAATGGACCATTTTAACAGTGAATGGATATCTCTGGCCTGCCTATAGTGCGTTCTAAAAACTTACAGCTAGGAAGTAAAAGAGTAGACTTGTGGCTACCTTATCACAACCACATTTTCTAACTCTGCTTTGTAAACTGAGTATTTTTGCCATAATATCCACCACAAACTGAGAAACACTCATCAGTTCATTGCACACAACAGCAAATACACCTACAAATGCTTCAATTTGTACAAGACCATTAATCACAGTATAGTCAAGCTACTAAAGCAAAAAAAAGTCAACATCCTGGCTTCTGCAAAAAAGCAAATACTATGGATACTGTTGATTAGTTACAATAATACACGTTATTTCAGAAGGTTCCTTGAGAGTAGTTCTGTTACTCTTGATTCCTAATATACAGATTTTCAGCGTCTTCACCACCAAATTGCCAACATCTTGGAATTTGTTACTGGGAGACAGGTAGTCATAACATTTGCAAGGAGGACAAGGCAAATTATTACTTGTTACTGTGACTTTCTCTTGAGTATCAAAACTCACTGGAAAGGTGACACCTATGAAGTAGCAGGAGAATCATTTGACTCTGACACAAAACATTGACACAAAACACTGACAATTTCAAGATCTCTCCTAACATGACAGAAGAGCTGGACTACATGGTAACAAATGCCATGGAAGTACTGCCATCTTCGAACAAGCCAAGAGAGACCGTGTAGGCAATTTTATTTCTAAGTCAATCACCATTTTGTCCTAACCTTAAACAAACTCTGCCCTTGAAACTCAACAAAACAAAGCTCTTCACTATCACTGATGAGTTGGCACCAGCTCTAATAACAATAAAGCAATGTTTGAGTTCATTCCTTCTTGCTCTCGTTCAGACTTGGGGTGCCTGAGACCCTAAGCAGTTTTATGCTCTCTACAGCTCTAGTACCATACCTTAATGAAAAATATGCTGCCCACACTACCTCTGCTCAAAGGTTCTCTTCAGGATCCACAGTTTTTGCCCTTGACGGCATGGTAGCTGCTTGCCAATTCTGGACCAAGGAACAGTCAGCAGGCTGCCAGTAAGAGAACACTGATTTCATTCACTCTGGGATCTTACCAATTCCATCCTGTCAGTAAACTTTAATAACCTGCCTCAATAAGCCTAAGATGCTGATTTACTACACTGCACTTCTTTTTAACCTACCAATATTGCTCACATTGCAAGATCACCTAGAAATCGCACCGTGAAGAGGTTTTCATTGTTTTAGCCAGCTTAATCTGTTGCAGAGTAGCAACAGGCCCTGTTCAATATAAGTTGCAATCTTAAAAACAAACAAACAAACAAACAAAAAACCCCCCACACTAAAAAACACACTGATATAACTGAGGGAAAACAGTGAAGTTCTGCCCTTCGGTGACCTGAGGAAAGTGGGACAGCAAGTATTATGGGGATACTTTCTTCTAATATGTTTGCTTTGGAAAACTGCCCTAATACCACTATCACTTACTCATATATAGGTGCATATGTGGACTGGGGGCTCTCCAAAGTGAAGGTTCTGGTCAAAAAAGTAGTAGTGTACAAACTGGAAGAATGCAGGAGTTTCTTTCACAATACTAAGAAGCCTTTCAACAGCACATTACCTTTCATCTCTCACCCTTCTAACTTGCTAACTTGTTCCCTCCAGCAATGCAGCATTTGCTATTAATCACACTAAAAAGCAGCTTAGGCAAGAGGAGCCCCAGATGCTGGCTGAAGAGAGGCACTGCATCACAGCAGAATGCCCAGCACAGCACAGCACAGCTATAGACTGACAAGGGGACACAAACAGGGAACAGAAGAAAACACAAGAGGAGGCACAGATACAGGAGAATCCATTCTGTCTGCAGCAGTGCTTGTTTCCTGACAGAAACACTACACAGATCTGTGCACCACGGAGGGGCAGAAGTGACTGAGCCTGAATACTTCTCTTATTGCAGGGAAAAATAGATTAACCAATTCCTCCTCCTTCCCTAAAAGAAACTCCTAAGTGAAGGTAAGTGTGGAAGGGACAGAAAGTACATTCCATGAAAAAAGTGCTTCTTGGCAGCATCTAAATTTGAAATTGCTTTTGACACCTCAACTCACAGCATAGATTAAGGATTCAATGCTTCTAAACAAACATGCATTTGGCAGCTGTGTTTCCTCCCTTTTCATTGAATTCTGATATAACTGTAACACAGTATTCAGATCTCATAAACAGGCCTTACTACCTTGAGCCTCTACCTCTGTTCCACATCTCTATAATTTCCACTACATGTAAAAAACACTTCCAGAAACAGGTTGGAAAACAGAAGATGCAAAGAGCAGCTTTCAAATGAATGCCTCTGCAGGGTGCCAGAAATAAGGAGTGGAAAGATCAGCGCTCAGATCATCTTCTGGTTTTCAGACAATCAACAGGTCATAGATTACAATGTTCTTTAATGATAACAAATAAGGCTATTTGCAAAAGATACCTTTTTTTTTTCCCCCCATAAAACTATTTTTGAAACATATACCACTTTCTGTTCAACAGTGTTAAATTTACTAGAACATTATTAGTACTAGAAAATGTATTATAAAGTGATACATTTGTGGAGCACTACTATGGTTTGGACAGTATCTGAATTCAAAATACTTTATTTTCAAGAAAGCAATTTAAGCACATAATGTCAGCTTCTTTAGGGGAACATATGAAACACATAAAAATGTTATCAAGTACAACACCAACAGCATAGCACATGATCCAAGTCAATTAGTCGACATTACTTCACTTCTCACACTTTTTGAAGCATCACAAATGATGAGGTTTGCACAATTCTAACACTACTCAGATGTGACCACTTAGATTCTGATCCCAATAGTGGACTCAAGAGTGCTTCCAAAAGCCAGCCCCAGCCACTTCCCATTGTCAGCCACAAGAAAGACTCAATGCTATATTACTTCTTTCTGCTTCCTAGCCTTCACTTCTATAGCAACAAAACCAAGGACCACAGATTAAAAAGAAACCATGCCATTACCCTAACAGGACATGTCTCCAGTGTGGCACACACTCAGGGTCAGGTTAGCCACAGACAACGATGACTCTTTGGGTAAAGACCTAACGGGGAACTGGGGGTAGCAAGAAATAACATGCACTACTTGGAACACGCAAAAGCCAAACAGAATAGTATTACAAAATGCAGCACCACTTACTTTCATAAAGTCCACAGAGTCATAGACTTGTTTGAGTTGGAAGGGACCCTTAAATGTCATCTAGTCCAACTCCCCTGCAATGAACAAGGACACCTACAGATAGAACAGGTAGCGCAGAGCCCTGCCAGCCTGAGCTTGAATGTCTCTGGGGATGGGGCATCCACCTCATCTCCAGGCAACTGTTCTAGTGTTTCATCATTCTTACTGTAAAAAACTTTTTCCATATATCCAGTTTAAATCCTTTCTCTTTTGCTTTGAAACTATTTCCCCTTGTCCTATCCCAGCATACTCTGCTGAACAGTCTGTCCCCTTCTTTCTTACAGCCACCCTTCAGGTACTGAAAGACCACTATTAGGTCTCCCCAGAGCCTTCTCTTCTCCAGGCTGAACAGCCCCAGCTCTCCCAGGCTGTCCTCATAGGGAAGGTGTTCCATTCCTTAGATCATTTCTGTGTCCCTCTTCTTGATGTGCTCCAACAGGCCCAAGTCTCATACTGTACTGAGGACTCCACATCTGGATGCAGTACCCCAGGTGAGGTCTCACTAGCACAGAGCAGAGGGGCAGGATCACCTGTCTCAACCTGCTGGCCACACTTCTTTTGATGTGGCCCAGAATACAGTTGGCTTTCTGGGCTGTGGCACATTGCTTTTTCATGTCCAGCTTCCCATCCATCAGTACCCATGCATCTCTTCAGTGCCCCCTTGTGTAAGGGGTTTAGTTGCCAGGCAGTTAAGCCTCCGAAATGGCTTAAACACCCACCTACTCCTGTGTCCAACCACACAGGCTCCTGTTCATCACGCAGCTCAAGTTCCAAAGGGAAGGACTGGGGATGTTTCTGGTTCATCCACAGTCCTCAGTCCAGCTCTGAGCCTGTATGATCTCTCATCTCAGCCAGCAGGCTGTTGGACAAAGCCCACTGCAGGCATTAGACTCACCAACAACTGTGTCATATTTTAAAAATGCTATATAAATAACAGTGTGTACCCAATGGCCAGACTCCTCTCCATTTTCTCTCTGTGCCTCAACTTGTTTTCTTCAACACAGATGAGCATTTTATGAACAATATTTCAGAGTCAGAAAAAAACTTCAGATTTAAAAAAAAAAATTCTTTTACCAACTATATATGTTAAGTAGCCAATGTACTAAGATATCTAAAATACAAGAAAACATGGTTTCAGCCTATCTTATTTAAAGAACAGAGTGAGAAATACCAATCTTATTTCTAAAGTGCTCTGAATTAATGGTATCTGAAGCAGACTACTGTTTCATCTAGTACAAGCCAGCCTAGTGCTTAGGAAGTTACCAATACAGTAAAAACTATGGACGTACAGTCCAGTCAAATACAGAGAGTTATCACATATAGTCTGATACATGCTGTCACCACAGACGTGATTTTGGTTACTTCAGAATATTCATACTAGCCTTGAGAATACAGGAAGTTCTTTAAAAATAAAAAATAAAAAAAAAAAAATCACAATTTGGATCAGTAACAAAAAATGAAAACATTTTGAAAGAATGACAAAGCACAAGGGAAAAGAACTATCGCGCAGCCAATAGTTTCAAAACCGAACACCCACTCATAGCTGGCAACGTTTAAGTTGGGAAAAACAAAAATGCCCACCCAAAAACGACATGTGAAGTAAAGGCTGAAATGTGAGATGTGAGGAGAAAAGAAAAAAAATGCTTACCTATCAATAGAAAAAGAAGCAATGGATCTAATGAGGGATGCCACTGCTCCAACCTTAGCAGCTTCCACTGCTCCCAGTGATCTGTACCGCACAGTTTCACCATAACTGATGAAAGGTTGGTTGTAGACAACAATCTTCCCCTTGGCCTCTTGAGCTCTTCTGTGCAGTTCATCAAAAGAGGCTACCACTAGGACTTCCGCTGTAATTCCTGAAAGAAAACATTACAGTGGTTTTACAGTTTTCTTGTAACTCTCCAAAAGCCAGTTTTAACAGACAGAAAAACATGGGTTGCACAGAACACAAGAAAGCAAACCCAATTTCTTACTGGCAAAGGAAGACTGTGTAAAAAGCTTCACTGGGGACCAGTACTAAACAGCTGTAATAGCACCCCAAACCAACTACACGCAGTACCACACTTGAAGGGCATGAGGGAGACATGGAAGGAATTCTGTTCTCTAAATGTGCTTTAATGCCTCACTGCAATCATTAACAGCATAGAAACATTTGCAAAAGCTGCCTATGGGATTAATAAGAAAGATGGAATTGTTTTGATATGTTGCTAACCAACTTAGCTTAACATCAGACACATAAAAGCATATATTTATAGACTAAAACACAAAATTATTAAATCCATAAGTGAAAAGAAATTAAAGCTTGACGGCTTTAAAAAATGTTGAAGCATGTCCATAAATTAAAAAGGAAAACAAAAAGCAAACAACAAAACACCTTCATATTTAATTCCAAAGAACACCACAGTTCTACTGAACTCTCCTTGGGAGCCCATGTTTCTCAGCTTTGATACAGGAACATAGGCAGGTACTTCTGGAAAACTATTCACACAGGCCAAATTACATCCCACCCAGCTGTTTGTTTTTAACACTTGGGATAATCTTAAATAGCTGTATTATCTTGCTCAGGAAAAAAAAAAAAAAAGAAAAGAAAAAAAAAAGAGAAGGAATTTATATATAAACATCTTCTTCCAAAGCCAGAGAATGCTTCTGTCTTGTCAGAACATTAATTAGGGAGCTATATTTCACGCCATTTAAAAAGTAATTCATTCAAATTACCACTGTGTTTAAAATCTGACTTTGTTGATTGATTACACAGATAAGCAGAAATTCCTGAACAATGTGTGAGCTAGGAATTTTCTTCCAAATATAGAATGGATGCCTGAAATTTTCATGTTGCACATTTCACCTAAAAGCCATCACTGAAAATTTAAAATAAAAACAAGGGCCTGGTAAGGAGTAAGGATTTGCTGAAGAAGTCAAACTATCAGATATGAAAAAGGAAATGTTCCTCCTTGAAAGTCATTTTCCCCCCCCCCCCTGTAAGTTTTAGAGATTTTAGCTTTGTATTTAGAGCTGTAATACATGAAAAGGACTGACAAAAATATAGGAAGATCACCTTTCCTAGCATCTATATCCAGGCTCATGGCTTCTTTCAAATTGTAGTACACTTCAAAACCTTACAGAAACTGTTTCATACAAAAAGTCTGGTTTCCTAAGCATGCACCACTTAAGAGGGCAGGAGACATCAACTGCTGCAGGAAAGGCCAGTGGATTTTAGCTACATGACTAACCTAATGTGAAAGGTGTAAAAATTTTAACCAAATAACTACTCAGATTCTTAGCTTTACAAAAAGAGGCACCAAGAGCCAAAGCAGAGAATCACCTTCAAATTCTACTTCACTGTTGTTAGCAGGTAGGCGAGAGTGCTCACAGAGACCAGCTGTGTCTACTGAACTGGAGGTCCCAACACCTACTAAGGAGCATCCCTCTGACAGAATTGTTCTGCAGATGGAACCATGCCACTGGAAATAAAGCCAGCTATCTGCAAAATCTCATTTTCCACAAGAAAATGCAAGGTCTCAGTAGGTTGACGCTGCAATTTGTATCTTACACTTGCTCCCATTGCAGCTGAGTTGCAATGCTCCAGTCCCAATGCTCCACTTGGGCCATGTAGCTCTGCAATGAGAGGACAGACATTGCACTGCAGCCTGTTCAGCAAGGGAAGCAAGAAGTGTAAGTGGTGTTGGAACTGCTTTACTGCATTAATGAACAAACACCCACCCTGGATGGTTTTTAAAGAATGCCACAGGCAGCTAGAAACTATCCATAATACCTAAGAAGTGTCAAGGACCAAAACATTTACTGCCCTGCCCTGCAGGCAGGCATCAGGAGTTCATGCAGGGTGCTTTTTGGCAGTTAAAGTCGAGGATGAGAGCTGAGACCTCCAGCCCAGGTTCTCCTGCTTCTCAGTGTTCCCAAAGCAGCTAAATAAAGCTGTCCTTCGACAAAATAAAACAAAGGTTCTCTCTGCAAGTTTAACTTAAATGACAGCATGCTATATGTAAAGCAGCAATTACAGCACTTTCCATAACAAAACAAAGTTTACTGGTGTAAATTCTGACTAATCCAATGTCTCAATTGCATTTTAACCCCACTTGATTCCATTTCAGTCTCATCTATTAAAGCGACAAGAACAATATTTAGTTTAAATTAACATGTGAACACACATGTAAAAGCCCCTAAGACTTCCAGTGCAAAGGCAGAAATGAAACAAAAAGCCCAACAGTTTCTCTAAAGGATAATGAATTGCTCCTTTTTATAAAGAGAAGTGTTTCACCTCTCGGAGCCTTTAACCAAACCAACCAAACTCTTCTTGAATCTCCCACCACTCCAGTGCCCCACAGCTCTACTCCACATCTCTAATGCTCTTCTATCCTTACTACTGTCATTACCTGATCCAGAGCTTGGCTGTGTGTTATTGAACATAAGCATTCAGAAAACCTATTTAAAGAGGGAGCAGAACTGCCTGCTTACTTAGGCAAAATACAGAGATTATAACCTGCACAGTCCAAGAGATGAAAGACATTTGGGAATAATTAAGTAAACTGCATGAAGCCTAGAAGACAGAACTCTGAACACGACAAATTTGGCTGACAGCACAAAGCTGAAGCCTACGTAGTCCTCGCAGTGTGAAAGATCATACTTGTTGGCTTGGCCAGTGAGCAGAAGAATCTGCACAGTGCTACGGTTTTCCTTTCATTTCTCGTATTAACCAGTAAACTGCACCGTGCCATTTCTGAGAACTGAGGTACAGGAAAAATGTTAATGACGGGAACTAGCAATGAACTGAAGTACTACAGTCTTCTGTACACAGAGGTGTATGATTCTGTCTGAACACTTGGCTAAGCCACAGCGTTGGTCACACTGCCAACCGAAATAAATGGCACTGCATGCATTAGCAAGGTCTGAAATTCTTCGCAGGCAGGAGGAAGGTGAGATGGATTACAGTCACTCTTGATTAGTTACAGAAAGTCCAATAATATGTATTTTAAAAAAGCACGCATAAATCAGCTGTCTGTACTGCTGCCATACATCAGAAGCCTGATTTCTTGGCATGAGCAGTTCTATCAGGACAGCCATCTCCCAGCACCTGCTTACCTGCCAGCAAAGATGCTAGCATTAGATTAGTTCAAAAGGGAATTCCCCCAAGAGGCAACTTACTCTCTTCAAGATTAAATGCACCAAACAGTTAAGAAACTTCAGTACCTGGAATTATGCATTTGTCTATATTAGTAACAGATTTCAAAGAAGAGCAAGAAAAAAGGTAAAAGCCACCCTATAATCACGTTTTAGGAATTGATGAATTCCTATCGGAACAACTCAGTGAAACTTCACACAGAATATTGTTGACATTCTTGGCCACGCCAGGGCAAGACACGGCAAGATTTTAATGCGTTGAGCATCATGAATATCTGAGATTCGAGAATCCAGTCTCAGTTTTTATTACCATCCTACGATTCTTAAATGCATACAAATTTGATCCAGCTAGTCACTATCAGATGCTGAATTAAAAAAAGAATTTAGAGAAGTCAGAAAGAATTATCATTTGCATACTGTTTAATCTTACTGGATAGTAAATTGCTGATTACTCAATTAAGGCCTATATTGCTGGTTTTGGGGTTTTTTTCCCTGCAGTCTCCTTTTTGTCATCCAGGTGAACACTAACAGTCCTTCGGGAATCTAGTTACAAATAAAAATGTAGTCATCATTCAACATATTTTTTATTAACAGCAAGTGAACCACTGATCCATACTTACTTCCATACTTCATTAATTCACACCGCATGTGAATAAGAATTCCAAATTCTTTTACACATCACACAGTAGAACCATGATGTTGCTAATTTATATTACTAGCACTGCCACTGCCACGTAAATACCCTGATGGACAGGGCAATTTTTGCTTAAAACAATTAAAATACATTATTACCAGGTCGAGACACAACAAATTTGGATAAGACACCAATCAAATCTCCACTAAACATCCCTGTGTGTTATGCATTGAAAATAAGTAAACAAATGCTGCCTAAAAACTGCCTTACATAAAAACACAAAACACTTCCAGTTGCTCTGATAATGGTCAAGAGGTTTAACCTGGGGAAGAGCACATCTGAAACACGTCCCAGCCCCTGAAGCCATGGCACAAGGAGGGAGAAAGGGCTGTCTTCACTGTCACCAGAACCATCAGGATACCAGGACCAGGAAATCAGGATGCTTCTTCATGGTAGGAAGACAACAAAGAAAGAATAGGAGCAGCAGCACATCATGAGAACAGCGTGTGAATCCTCCCTGAAGACAGTGGCCCTACTGCACACAGCAGTGACACCACACTGCTGATGCCTTTATTTCTTGTCCACTGCTACTTTCCCTCAGATTTCCCCATTTGTACCTCATCCCACTCACAAAGCTGGTGAAGGAAACAGAAATCTGATCATCAAGGTATTGAAGGTCTATCAAGGTGTTGAAATCCAGGCTGATTTTAGCTACTGGAAATCTCAAGCGTTTGTGACTGGCTGATCGAGTTATTCTTTTGGAGTTGGAGGGGAAATCTTTGGGATAGAAGAAATTTTTTTAGTAGAAGAGTGAAAAGGCAAATTTAGTATTGAAAAATAAATGGGGTAAGGGACTTGCCAAGACATACTATCAAGGCTTAGCAACCTCTAAAATCAGCCCAGAAAACATTTTTTCCCTCAACTATGTCTTACCTCTTCAATGTTTGACCTTTATCTTAAGGTCTGAGGACTTTTTTCTTCCTGTTTATGCCACACCAACCACAACAGGACCCTGCTCCTGACTGTTCTGCTTTGTGCTTTACTAAAAGAAAGAACTGACTCTTTTGCGTGCATTTGCCAGAGCAT